AGTGGAATGAAAGAACCCAGTGCAATACCGCAAAATACGGCGGTACGCTGTAACTTATGGCGTTACGGTGACAGATGTATAATAATAATAAGTATTCCATGTGTAAGCAGAATAAATGCAACATTATAAATCAAATGTACATGCTATGAAACCATATTATTACAATTATTTCGGACAATTCGCTTAAAATGACTTGTTAAGTTACCATTCTTTACAAGTAATGGTGGTGGCAAGTGAAACATTGACAGTGGTCTATAAAAGCAGTGAACTTGACTGAATGACTGGACTGATTCAACTCGCTGACGCAGTGTCCAAACAGCAGAATGGCTACAGAGCAGCAGACAAAATATGACATTATGACGTGTAAAAGTGGAAGTAAAATGATGCAAATCAGCACATATACATAAGTGGCAAACACAAACACAGGAAGCGGCCAGCACGAACAGGAGAATTGGGCAGCATATGTAAACAAATGTTTAAAATATGCAGAGAACGTGGCCAGCACATACACAGATTGTGACCAACACATACAGGGAAAGTGTCCAGAATATGCAGAGAAAGTGACTAGTACACACATCATCACGGGCACGCAAAAGTAACCAGCAAATACAAGGGAAGTGCCCAGCAAAATTAGAGACAGTGGCTAGCGAACACAAAGATAGTTCAGTAAAGTTGTCAGCGAATACTGAAAATGTTGCTACTGAATACAGGTGGCTATTACAATAAAGAGAAATTTACCTGCAATACAAGAAAGGTTGCCTGTTAATGCAGAAAAAAACGTGCCTGTGAATACAGGGAAAGTTAGGCTGAAATTCAGAAAAAGGTTTCTTGCAATACAGGGAAGTTGCCAGGAAATATTGCGAAAGTTGCTTCCAAATACAGGAAACGTTGTGAGTGAATATGGACACGATGCCAAAACAAGGAACGGTTTCTTGTCAATTCAGGAAAGTTACCAATGTAAGGAAAGTTGACAGCAAATGTAGAAGATTTGCATGTGAAGGAAGACACGATGTCAGTTAATAAAATAAAATTGCAGGGAATACAGGAAAAGTTTGCAATATAAAAACGTTACTTCAGGTTTGAAATAGAAACCATGATTATGCCTCAGTGGCGGTGTTCGTATGTGTAAGCAGGATTTGATCACTCGACATGTTTATCATAAACTTTATATATAGCTTTCTGTTTTTCAATATTATTATGAGTTTAACAATTCTATTATATTTCTCGAACAGAACATAAAACTTCAAATCAGGTCGCATCGCCACCAATGCACGCTCTTCTCTCAAAAAAAGGTATCTATATTAATTCTTATGTTTTATGTTTCATGGTACTTACATAAGTCTGCGTTTTATGATGTGTCCGCACATAGTATTGTATTCACTCTATTTACTGAATATGTGTTGTTAAGTTAATAGATTGAAACCTTATTATGACAACGATGGATGTTTTGAGGCATATGGACATGCTCCGTATCGATGCGCTGACAACGAACCAATATGTTTGCGAGAAAACGAGTTATGTGATGGATTCCAGAACTGTGAGGACAATAGTGATGAACTTGGCTGTGGTAAGTCAGACTCAGTTGTGCGATGGGTTGTATGAGCCGAAAAGTAATGCAGTGCACGAAATTTTGCATAAGGGGCGAGATCTGCTCACCAATATTGCGCCGAAGACGCGACCTTACTAGGGACAAGACCTCTGACTCTCAGCTTGATTTTGGAAGGATAACCCAACATTTTTTCGAGCCCCCTCTGCCCCCCTCCTTGTGCCGCTGCCACTTCAGTGTGAACGCAATAATGTTTAATTCATGTAATTGTTTATTATTACAGGCTATGGTGAAGCTGATACCAATCTATGTATCAAACCAAACCAGTCACGTGTTACAGATTGGAATACTTTAGAAAATCAGCTGTTAGAAGCACATAACTACTTTCGGTGTCTACATGGAGTGAACCCTCTGGTATGGGACGATAGGTTGGCAAAATACGGACAATATTTAGCTTCAAGTAATGCCGCTAGAGGGCGTTTGGAACACTCGTACGTACCTGACTTTGGTGAGAATGTCGCCATGCAAGAGTTGAAGTCGATGGATAGAATGACAGGTTGGAAATATTGTTAATATATTATTTATTATCTAAGTAATAATAAAAAGAAAAGTCACCTCCAATCAAAAACCTTAATAGTTTAGCAATAAACTGGTCCGACGCTTCTATGGTTGCTTGGTTACTGTGACCCCATTTGCTTCTGTGTGCCAAGGATGCTAGGTTACTGTGACCCCGTTTACCTAAGTGTGCCATGGTTGCTAGGTGCATGTTGTCGCAGCTACTTCTTACCAAATACATACGGATACAACACTGTTCTAAGTTTTAGCGTATCAAACTTCAATGGTGGTGATTGAAAAACAACACATTTAACAAACATGTTGTAAACTTTGAACGGCAGCGTGGATGCCTACAATACATAAGCAACATGTTCTGTACAACAGGTACAGTGAAATATCTGCCTAAAACTGAATAGTTTTGCTGACTATGAGTGAATCAATAACGCCACTATACAACCACAAAATAACATCGTTGTTAATAAGTTGTTGGTCATAATGTGACAAGTTCTCTTTTTCTCTGGTAGGATATGGTTTTGTCAGTATGTTCTACAATGAAATTAAACTCTATGATTTTCGACATCCACAGTTCTCCTACGATACAGGTAAGGCGCGTGTTTGTTTAGCGAACGAGGATAGTAGTGAGTCATAAATCATGATATCCCAGAATACAAGAATGTATAGTACTAGTATTGCGCGGGAACCAATAACGTTTTTCCTGGAAAGAACTACGTGACCCCTGATTACCCAGCATTTGCAAACTATGTTTGAAGTTGACGAAATATATGAAATTCAACCTGTTTCAATTCCATGGTTTTACTTATAACTAGTGTCAACATTACTTTTGTGTGTAAAGTGTGAGACTATAGCAAGAAACTGACACTTTTTCGCAGCTCGGTGAGATTTGATATTCTTCACTGGTACCGGTAAAAAAAGTTTCTATTCTTGTTCTGGTGAGAAATGTTCCTCTTGGTAATAATTAAAACCTACAAACTTGACGCTCACTGAATGATCGAACGTTCGCACCTCAAGTGTCGGTTTCTCGCTCTAGTCCCGGACTTTTAAACAATAGACACGTAGTTAATCTACAAATCCCTGGAATCTCAATAGCGTCTGGGAGTGCGGGCTAAATTTGTGTCGATGAGCGAGGCAAGACAATGGAAATGAGGTTATAAGCATTTTTCACGTGATGTGTTGGAGTACCATGACAACCACGGAACGGCCAATGAAAATGCAGTATTAAACATCTTACGTTACGTTACGTATGTTAGTAATCATTGTGAATATCGTTATCCGTATTTGTTACCCATAGGACTAGTGTCTTCACTATCACGTGACTGTTCAGTCCATAATCAGTCTGTAGTAGCGTTTACGCACAGCTTCTTAGCACCGGCTAAGTGATCAAATACCTTAGACCGTGCTAAGAAAACGTGCTTTCGCCTGTGTACGTACCAACAGCAGTGGGAATTTAGACGCATTCACGGTGACTGTTTGAAATTAACAATTAATGTAGAATTCTTGTAATCCTTCATAGTGGTGACTACGAAGAAGAATGCCTAACCACATACTCCGACTAACTGTTGTTCAGTGAAGTTTCATCTCCGATTTCTTTTATTTCAGGACATTTTACGCAAGTCATATGGAAGGAAACAAAGAAGATTGGATGTGGGGCGTCGCTAAGATACCGAACTCATTGGACACAGTTCCATATTGCATGCGAATATTACCCACAAGGCAATATATTCGGCAAATCCAACATGGCGGCAAACGTCCCACCACTCATGTGATTTCCGCATTATTACGTCATTTCCTTTCGTGTGTTACTTTAATACCTCCGTACATGTACTACCTCCTTATGGAATTCATACATTTGTTATTATATCATTAAATGTTGCCGTTATCTCAGTTATCCCAGTCTCTGATTCGACAATGTGGGTAGTAACAGTTTTGGTTTAAATGATTATTTTCGATATTTCATCTTGATAAATATATTATGGTATGATTTTGATAAATAAAAACACTGTTTTATTCAATCATAGCATATTCGTTCGATAATAATGATGAAACAATTCTAATGCACATGCGTCCCGATTTTACTTTTATTTTCATGGTTTCGTCAAACAAATACTGCTATGTTTGCAGCCTTAACATCATTTTTACGATGAATCATACCCAAATGTTTCTATCAAGTTATAATTACAATATGCTTATATGTTTAGTTATTGACATTGGATTTTTGTAATTGTTGTTTAGAAACAATACAAATAACGATATGCATAATCATAACAGATCGTTCCCGAATGCCGATTTTGAGGGAATGTTGGCAAAAAATCTCCCAGACATCACTCAAACTTAATGCAATTTGATGCATTTAATTGTCCACATTACCACTAAATATACGTTTAATACTATGCTATTGCCCTTATTACCAGTCAGTATATGTTCAATAGTACGATATTGTCCTCAATGTCAGTCAATGTGTTTAACAGTTAGATACTGCCCCACGACCAGACAATATTTGTTTAATAGTAATATACGCTCGTATTACAATCAATAGACGTTTAAATGATAAGATATTGTCTACATTGCTTGCCAATGTATGTTTAATAATAAGACATTACCTCCATTACCGGTCAATCTATGTTTATTAGTAAGATATTACCCTCATTAAAGTCATTATATGTAAGATATTGCCCACATCACCCACCGCTATATGTTTAATAGTAAGGTACTGCACATTCCTATGCGCAGTCAACCAAGTAACAGTTGCTATGCTGTTAAATTTGATCACATGATCTCATGGTCAGTGAAAGGCAGTGAATTTCATCTTCAAACAATACACTCCTAACTGTTGTTGTTTATAAATGATATCATTGTTTGCTGACCATGCACGGTAGTCGCCATGATGCATCAAGTCATCGTACTGGTTGTTGTGTCCTATGCGGTTCTAAGTTGTCACGGTATTCTTGCAAAATCAGCAAAACTGGTAAGAAAAAAGATTTTGGATGAGATCGCGATTTAAACCATATTATGATCCACTCGCATTATCAATATTTCTTGCAAAAGGTAAAATTACCCTGCCTGAATATAACCACTGTGTGTGAACAAGTGAGAGTTCAGACATAAACTTAAATTGGAATTAGAATCTTTCATTGTCGATGAGTTCATTAAGAACTTGAAGAAACTAAAAGTGTCGATATGTTACCAGAAATGGTCATATAAATTATGATATTGTCACGGTAACATGTGTAGATATGTGTGGAAATTAGATTGTAGATATTTCAAACTTGACCTCAAATGTCGTCAGTAAATCTGGTGATTCATTGCGTGTTTGTGGACTGTGTTAAATATATTGTCACCCCGTTGTCGTTGTTGTCACAAAGACGTACACATAATATAGCGCTCATTTTGTTGGGCATTTAAATGTATTCATAGTGAACAAAACTAAAAGAGTTTTGTGAAATGGCGAGTTCACTTTGGACGGTGATTCATTCATTCATTCACTGTGCCATTGTAAAACGGGATCTTTTTTGCAGGACGTTCATTTTAAACAGATAGAATGGTTGTTATGGTAACCTATCAGTACCACACCAAAACTAAACATTATCTCATGTTGCTTCTGATGGAATGACTTACAAGTATTGTTGATGTGAAAAGTTCGTCGTTGTATTGGGAGGTCGTCGCATACGTCGTACAATCTTATCGAACTGTACGCGGCGTGACAATCACCATCCTTTAATGGCAATTAAATCAAACCAAACAATCAATTTAAACACGTTCCAATGTTATTCGATATTTATAAAGATGGAGAGAATGCTTTTGTTGCGCCGAGAGTATAGACTGAGACAAATCGATAATTTTAATGAAAATGTCTACATATATGGATGTCATTTTGTTAAATGTAACAAATGTCCAATCTACAAGTTTTCTGAGTTATGTCAGAATGTAATTTTGAATAGATGATAAACGCTGCATTTTTATTTCACGTAGGTGCCTATTGATCACTATGGTAACAATAATGGCCGAAATTTATGGAACATTCTCCGGTACATAAAAATGAAGAAAAATAACATTGGTTTGTATATATTTTGCAATATTTCTTTCAAGATATAGATCTACGAGAACGCGAAAATAATGTCAATGTAAAAAATGTATGGGCTGGTATTACCAAAACCAGTTTAAATAATGCATACACATGCGCAAAACATCCAAGCAAATGTATGGTGATTACGTTCATCCTGTCGGCCTATGTGTTGTGAGGTAGAAAAGACATCGGATAGTGCATTAAGTATAGGCTGTGAGTCTTATAAATTACCACAGCGAACTTACCTCATCAATATGTTACTAGAGACATTAAGATGCGCATACGAGAACGGAACGAGAACGGACACGTCACTGCTTTGTGCATGACCTCCGCGCGAACCAATGACGTCATAGGTTGCCTGGTCGCAGCGTGTGTTGTGTCATGTCCATCAGTAACAACAACAATTTATTAACTCATAACCACCTACTGA